CTTCTTCATGTAATTTATTGTGCCATCAAGGCCTATCAAGCCTGAGCATGTATTCATGTATATGCCACTTTCATTTCATGATGGTGTGTTGTTGTGCAAATGCAATTTGATGCCTTAGTGGGTGAGATAATATCCAATTCGTGATGGGCAGCTCAGGGCACGTGGCAACATAGTGGTCCATGGTCAAGTGTTCAGTCTCTACTAAGGCCTACTAGCAGGCCAAGAGCTGTTTTTCGAAAGGAGAGTAGTTATCCATGTAAGATGGCAGGGCTTTACTCCAGAATCCTAAGGACCAGTGTTGCAATTCACCATAGGGACCTGCCAAAGGCTCCAAACAGCATCTTTCCTGCCACTGACACCAAGTACTATTGAATCTGCTGGATCATTTGGTCCAAGTGGCAAAGCAGCCTTCTCTTGCTCTGGGGCCCACACAAAACAAGCAGCTTTTCAGGTCACTCAGTAAATGGGCAAGAGTGACACACCTAAATGAGGAGTATGTTGCCTCCAAAATCCAAATAGGCCCACTAGGCATCATGCCTCTTTCCTGGTTATAGGAAAGGCCAGATGCAACAGATTATCCTTTATCTTGGAAAGGATGTCTCAGCATGCTCCACACCACTGGACCCCTGTAAATTTCAGTGAGGTAGAAGGGTCCTGAATTTTTGTCAGATTTATTTCCCTTCCCCTGACATGCGAAAGTCTCACCTATAAGTCTGGAGTAGTTGCTGCTCCCTGCTCTCTAGACCCAATTAGCATAATGTCATCAATGTCATGGACAAGTGTGATATCTTATGGAAAGGAAAAGTGATCGACATCCCTGTGAACTAAATTGTGATATAGGGGCTGGAGAGTTGACATGCCCCTGATGAATGACAATGAAGATGTATTGTTGGCCTTGCTCGCCAGCTGAAAGCAAGCTGGTTCTGGTGGTCTTCATTAACAAGTATTGAGAGACAAAAGTACTTGCCAAATTAATAGCTGCAAATCAGGTATCAGGAGATGTGCTAATTGGCTCAAGGAATGAAACCACATCTGGTATAGCAGCTGCAATCAGAGTTACCACTTTGTTAAGTTCATGGTAATCTACTGCCATTCTCCAACATCCATCTGTCTTGCCAAATAGGCAAATTGAATGGGAATGTGGTGGGATTCACCACCTCTGTATCATCCAAGTCCTTGATAGTTGCACTAAACTTTGAAGTCCCTCCAGAATTGTGGTATTGCTTTTGGCTTGTTATTTTCCTGGGTACAGGCAGTTCTAGTGACTTCCACGAGATCGTTTCCACACTAATGCTCCTTACTGCACAGATCAGAAAACCAATGCATAAATAAATAAATTTATAAAAAAAAAAAAGATATGTAACCCTAACAATATTTGTACCCACAGAATTTGGGAAAAAATAAATAAATAAATTTATAAAAAAAAAAAAGATATGTAACCCTAACAATATTTGTACCCACAGAATTTGGGAAAAAATAAATAAATAAATTTATAAAAAAAAAAAGAAAGAAAGAAAGAAAACCAATGCTAGGATTGTGCTAGCTGCTGAGTGCATCTATTCCAATAACGCATTCCAGCACTGAGGAAATGACCACAGCATGGGTTTGGGAACCCACGAGGCCCACTGTGAGACAGATCTGAGCTAAAATCCTATTGCCCACCTGACTTCCATAAGCCTCTACTCTGAGTGGTGGACCATAGTGGCATTTTGGGTCTCCTGAAATGAGTGTTAGTTCAGAGCCAGTGTGCAGTAGTTCCCAAAAGGTTTGATTATTTCCTTTTCCCCAGTGCACAGTTACCCTGGTAAAAACTCATAGGTCTCTTTGGAGAAAGAGTAACAGGATAAATTTTGGGTAGTGTTCCCAAACTGATGCATGTTTGGGAATTGATTGGGGGGCTGAGACTCTCTGTTTTCATGATTCAAGTTAGATTGTTGCTCACTTGACCTAGAAATTTTTTGCTTACAAAGATCAAGTAAGAATTTAGGGGGCTTCCTATCTACTTTACTTCTAGGAGCACCATGATCAGCTAGCCTATGCCATCAGTCTGTATGAGTCAGATCATTCTGACTGCTGCTTGGACGCTGCTGCCCATTATGGTAACCACGTCCACCTTGCCTTTGGTGGTTTTGTGCCACCACTTGGCACTGCCCCCTGGGGTCCAATTACTCCCACTGCATTGAGGTTTCCCAGTTCAGCAGTTCCCACTGTAAGGTCTGGCCTACAGAGAAGGGCAATCACAGAGCTCCTCGAGGATGCTGGGGCTCCCCTCCTAAATTTAAGTGTCACAGTATTGATATGTCTTCTAAACATTGCCAGTGTGGATGAGTACGTCTTAAACAACAAATCCACTCTAACATTCCACTCTCCCTAAGCCTTTAAATCCCTTCTTCTATAAAAAAACAAAGGCATGTCTGGCATTTCCAACTCACTCACCATGGACCGTCTTTTGGTTCATGTATCAGCCAACCTAACAAATTGTAAGAACATTTTCTAGCTCCCTGGACGTCAACATTAAATGCAGAATCTCTGCTCAGTGAGCCCATAACAACAACAAAAAAATAAAATTATACAATTTTATGTTTCTTCCGCCATTATCCCACACCTTGAGTATCCATTCCCATTCATTAGTCAGATTTCTGGCTGTCTAAATTAGAAAACTCAAGCAGTTCTTTCGAAGTGCAGCACACCTCCTCATGGGTCACACTCCAAAGCTCACCTTTAGGGGCCTGCTGGGGCTTGAGTTTAGTTAAAGGTCCAGAAGTAAAGAGGGGTGAGAGTGGGATAGGGCTTCTCAGGAACATCAGCATCGTCTTGCTTGGCCACTGCCTCAGAAGAGGCCACTACCGTTTCCCCAGGCAGTGCAGGGTTAATGCTCTTAGAAGGTACAGGAAAGTGAAGAAGCTGATACCACTGAGGATGGGAAGATCACTCCCACTGGAAAAGAAGACTCATCAGAATTTAGTAGCTCCATGTCCCAAATTCCATCAGGGCCTTCCCGCACATCCCCATCCCAACTTACAGGATCCCATTCTTTTCCAACCAATGCTTTGACTTCAACAGTAGACACCTTGGGAAGCTGGGGGTTCAACTTGCTTTGTCATTCAACCAGGGGCAGGATGAGATTCTCCATTTGATTTTAAGTAATCTCAGCCCTGCCAATATAGGAGATAAGGATCTTTTTTAGGGCACACATAGAAGTTTTAGGTCATTTATGTGGTGCTCGAGTCTTCCCAGACACACCCAGAAATAATGTTTAACCAGAGATCTGAGCATCCCATGATCCGGTTAAGTTGGCACACAACATTAGCCATCACACCTGCCTGACGCCATATTAGCTGGCATATTTGGGGGCCCAGATTTGCAATCAGAAAGCCCATTTCCAGAAACATGATTTAACCACGCAATTGGATGCTACAGGGGTTATAGGTATGATACCCTCAAGACCCACAGCAGAAAAGACAGAAAATAACACAGAGCAGAAACACTTTTACCACTTCATTCTTCTCACAAAAACAAAACAAAGCGAAAAACCCTCTACTCTCTCAAATATTAGTAGCAGCTTCTTTCTTTGCCACTGAAGATTCCATTATGTCATTGACAGATTTTAGAGCTCCCCCTCCTGGGGGAGGATATCAGATAGGAAATGTATACCTTGAGCTCCATCTAAAGCGGCAGTTCTCATTCTCAGCCTCTTGACACGTGGGTGTGTCGAGATGAATTTTATCTAATTTGTTAGTAATAATAATAAAGAGCCAAAATTCCCTAATGACATAATTTTTACCATGGAAATTAAAACTGAATAAAAGTCCTATAATAATACATACCATGTTTTCTTGCTTTCCAATATGCTTTTTTGACTACTGAAGAAAGATAAATAAAAGTAATGGGATTGGGAGTAGCTCATCTGTGAATATCACAATAAGTAAGAGCATTAAAATATGTTTGTTGAAAATTACGGATTTGATAGTTAGAATGCAGTAGACAAAACAAGCACTTAATTCCTCATTTGACATTTAAACCATCTTCTTTAAATATAAATTATATGAACATTTCTTATTTTATCAAACCAGACACTCAGAGTTTTAGTACCATTTACTCTTCATTTGGTCAAGATGACAAGGAGAGAATCCATTTCTTTCAAGAGCAATGGTTTCCTAATTTTTGAAACAGTGGACTTGTTCTTCAAATGATATATTAACAAATCAAAATATCCATAATGGATTTGAAGGAAAGAAGGAAAAGAAGGAGAGAAGTTCTGAAGCCTGAATGGTGGAGCTTAGGAGGGAGGAGGTTAGGAAGAAGTGGGGGGTGGAGTGAGGGTCCAAAGACTCACCCATTTGGCTTTGCTATTCAGGCAGCTCCTTAGGCAATTTTTGGAGCTCCACAGAACACAATTTAAAAAGGATTAGCCAACATATTATAATTTAGAGTAATTTAGATAATAAAATTATTATAACCATTTCAAGATGTTATAAGTGTATCAAAGTTGTAGGTCTAATCAATATTTTAATTAAAATTTGCTTTAAAATGTGATATTATATAATATACGTATACATATCATTAAATGCTACATCTCATTTTATGTGTTAAACTGGAATTTTTTGATTTGCAAGTGGTGTACAGCATCCTGAGGCATTTAATTCCTGCCTCTGCTTGTGGCTAATATTCATCTCTTGACCATATCTGTCAAAAATGCAAATTTAGCTTTTACTGTAAAAAAATTAAAGTAAATGAAATGTAATGGACTTTTAAATATAGTTCTCTGGCACAACCTTTAATTTAAGATGCACAATTAAACACAATTTTACCCTTTTAAACTGCTGCTTGGGATTATTTTTGAACAGTGATGTATTTCTTTTGATTTTCTCTTATTTTCTGATAAACAGAGTAACTGTAATAAATCCTGATCCTGCCTTTGGTCTGGATATTTAGTAGTTATGTATTTGTTTTCTTTGATAGCAACACTCATTAATATTTATAACCATTTTCCTTTGTAGCACCTCCCAGATGGCTCTGCGCCCAGTGCACATGTTGAATTTTATCTTTTACCATATCCCAGTGAAGTTCGTAGGAGGAAAACAAAATCTGTTCCAAAATGTACAGACCCCACTTACAATGAAATTGTAAGTATGATTCATCTCTTGTCCAGTCATTTTGTATTTTTCTTACCATTTTTTAGCTTAACAACCAAATATGGAGAATTTGCAGTGATTGGGAGCTTTATTCCATAAAGGAAGGAGATTTCCCAAAATAGTCACAGTATACTGATCACTGTTCTAGATCGTATGGGCACTGGAAAATACAGATACTGCTTTCAGAGCTTTTATGAACCAATTTTCAAATTGTGGTTCACCTCCAGCAAGAGCACAAGACTTGTTTTGCATACTAACACTCTCCTTGACTTCATCTTATTTTCTCTAACCTTAGTCTCCTATACCTGATTTCCCTCGCATAATTTTTTGTGTATAATGGTAAATCTCAGAAAATCCCTTTTGAAAAACAAAAAAATAAACAAATTAAAGTTAATTTATATTATAAGCAGCTCTCTAATTCCCTCATAATGTCCAATTTGAAAATCCAATTCCCCAACTTCTTTCTAAGGCAAACCCCTACATTTATTCTCTTGATTTCATCTTTTCCCATCTCCACTGTACCTTGCTCAGCTGATTATTTGCTCTTCTTTTCTTAAGGCTGCCTCATGCACTGGATCCTCCACTCAGAGCTCTTAAAAAAACAAAAATAGAAAATTCCTCCACTCAGCCTTTCTAAGCAAATTTTCTTTCCCTCCCTATCACCTTCAAATTTTTGCAAAATTAACTCACATAACCTGCTCTCACTTCCTCACTTCGCCTCTCCCTCTTCATCCTTTAATCCTTTGCAGTGTGGATTCTGAACTTTATTAATAATGCTTTATTCAAGTGGCATCAATAGACTCCTCATTGCTAAATCCAAAGAGCCCTCAGGCCTTCCTCTCCCCAGTGCTACTGACCACACCCTCTTTCTTGAAACCTCCCTTTAGATTCTAGAGTTGTTCCTTTTCTTAATTCCCTTCCATTTTCTCCAAACACTCTCATTTTCCTTCATTGCCATTCTTCTTCTTGAAATATTATTGTTTGCTGAAGTCCCATGATGGATGCACCCTCATCTCCTCTTCATTCATGTGCTTTCAAAATTATCTTCTGTATTCACATTTTCATTTATCACCTACATGTAAATTGCAAGTGAATTTATTCCTCAAGCCCTGGCTTCTTTCTCAAGCTTTTGATCTGTGCCTCTACCTGATCACTGGAGAGCCCCATTTAACTGTCTCCAAGGTGCTTTTAAACCAGGTTTTCCTCATCTGTTCGCCATCTCAAGAGATACCTTCTAATGATACCTCCCTCTTCCTCACGCACCTTTGCAACTCATCACCAAGTTTTGACAGTTCTACTTGGCAGCCGCCTGCCTCTTCAATCCACCATCTCCTTTCTGTTTCATTGCTGCTTTTCTGTTTGAGCTCCTTGTCACCTTGGCTGTTACAGTAGCTTGCTATTTGCCTCATGTCTTGTGTTTTTTTATTAAATCGTTCGCATTTCTGCCTCAGGTGTCTTTCAGAAACTACTCATATTTATTATTCCTCTGCTGAAATTTTTTTTGTCATGGTTTCTCACTGCCTGCTATAGAAAGTACAAAAACTTAAACATGGCATTCACTCACAGCCCCTAAAACTTGACTCAGTAATTTTCCTAAGTTGTCTCTTGGAGCAATATTATCCCGATACTCTTTTATTTCTTAATTTATTTTGAGATAATTATAAAGTCACACACAGTTGCAAGAAATAATACAGAAAGAACTCAAATACCTTCCATCCTCTTTCCCCCAGTGATAAGATCTAGAGTAACTACAATATCACAACCAGGAAATTGACATTGGTACAATCCACTTACCCCACTTAGACTTCACCGGTTTTACATGCCCACTTATGTATGTGTGTGTGTTGGCTCTGTGCAATTTATCACATGTATAGGCTATGTCATCTTCCCCACAGTCAAGATACAAAAGAGTACCATCACAAGGATTACCTGTGCCACCACCCTATGTTAGCCTCAGACACCTTTCCCCTCCCCAAACCCTGGCAACCACTAATCTGTTCTACATCTCTATAATTTTGTCACTTCAAATATTATATAAATGGAATTATCCAGTTTATAACATTTTTAGATGTTTTTGTCACTCACTGTAATTTCTTAGAATCCACCCAAGTAGCTGCATATAATAATTGTTTGTTCCTTTTCATTCGTGAGTACCATTCCATGGAGATACTACAGTTTGTTTAACTGTTCACCTACTAAAAGACATCTAAGTTGCTTCCAGCTCACGGATATAAGGAATAAAAGCTGCCATAAACATTGATGTATAGGTTTTTGTGTGAATATAATTTGTCCCTACGACAAATGTCTCAGAGTATAATTGCTAGAGTATGTGGTAGTTGTATACTTAGTTTTACATGAAATCACAAAACTTTTTTTCAGGGAAGCTATGCCATCTTACAATTCCACCAGCACTGTACGAGTGATCCAGTTTCTCTGCATCCTGTCTAGCATTTGATACTATCGTTATCTTTCATTCTAGTTCTTTTGATAGGTATAGAGTGGTATCTCATTGTGACTTTGATTTGCAACTGCCTCATGACTAACGATGGTGAACTTCTTTTCAGAGGCTTAATTATCATCTGTACATCCTCTTTTGTGAAATGCATCTTCATGTCTTTGATTGTTTTCTAATTGGATAGTTTGCATTGTTACTGTTGAGTTTTGAGAGTTCTTTATATATTCTGGATACCAGTTCTTTGTCAGATATGTGGTTTGCAAATACTTTTTCCCAGTCTATAGCTTATCTTTTTATCCTCTTCACAGGGATTTTTAATTTTGATGAAGCCAACTTGTAATTTTTCCTCTTATGGTTCATTCATTTGGTGTCAAATCTAAGAACTCTTCATCTAGCACTAAGTCCCAAAGATTTTCCCCTATATTTTTTCTAAAAATTGTATAGTTTATAGTTTTCCATTTTATATTTAAGTGCATTATCCATTTTGAGTTAAATTTTTAATAAAGTGTGAGGTTTACATCAGTACTTTTTAAAATCCCCCTGTGAATACTAATTACTCCTGCACCATTTATTGAAAAGGCAATTCTTTCTCCATCAAATTTTTTTGCACCTTTATCAAAAATCAATCAAGAATATTTGTGTGCTCATACCCTTTTATTACCCCATACTTGCCATATTCTATGTTCACATCAGACAGTTTATCATTTCCTGAATGGTTTCTTTGACGGAACTCATCATTCATCTTTCTCTGCCCTTCCTTGCCTACTTTGAGGCTGACCTCAAATGTAACCTTATTAATACTCCACCTCTGGGACCCTTACACCACACTTAGAATCATTTATTTAATCCTACATATTTTTTTCTAATGTATCCTAAACATCTTGAGTATAGGGAAAAATGTCTTATCTTTTTTAGTATTTTTAATACTTAGTTACTTCTAAAAAGACGTGTTATTAAATATCTGAGTAGTTTTATAAGGGATACTTTGAGTGGAAATAAAATGTAAAAATATATATATACACATACACACAGATTCTCTTAATTAGTAAGGGAAGATATTTTGACACTTTATTATTTGAATTTTATTATTTGTCATGATGTCAACACCTGGAAATATACATCTTATAATAATATATCACTTGTTTCTTTTCATACTTTTGAGTGCAAGACCTTCTACCCCACTATCAAGTAACTTCCCAGACTCCATGCTATACATCAGCATCTTCAATCCGAGGAAACACATAATAACAAAAAGCCACTAACAATTCAGGAGAATTTAAATAAACTTTTTGTGTTTTATTTATCTTAAGCTTTCTGTACCATAAAAACAGCAGTAGAGACACATGCCTGAAGATTATTTGATAATACTTACTGGACACATAAATTTTCTGATGGCTTGCAATAATTCTAGGTCCTCACACATCTCTGGCCCACTGATTAGAAATCACTACAATACCCTCTCAATCGATCTCTATTTGCAGCATGAACACACACTGTTTATAGTCTAGATACGTTTTAAATTGCTTCAAAAACCATGGTCCATGCATAGCCAGTTCCAATCTGTACATGATCCAAAGCAGCAGAAATTTGAAGCAATGCATGCACAAATGACTATTTTTGCGGTAGTCAGCAGGCCAATAAGAGGTCATTATATAAACAAGTTTGGCAAGGAAGCTGGTTGAATTTAGAGAGTCAGAAGGAAAAAAAGCAACAATATTTTAATTTTTCTCCCATTTTGCTTTATGTTTGTATCAATACAATAAGAATATTCATAAGAAATGCAAAAAAAAAAAAAACAAAACTAATTTTAACTCTGATTTTACTTTCTCTTACCCACAGTTGTGACATAGGAACCCATATGTCTGTGCTAAATCCCTCAATGACTTCCGTGCGTCCTCACGGGCACCTTACTGGATGTCCTTACTCAGAAGCTCAGTTCTTACCAGGGAGCCCAGTGAGTTCTCACATGGCATCTACCTTGTTTTAAAGGTCTCCCCGGACTGCCACCTCCTCACTGAGTCCCATTGCATCAGCCACTCACCACAGCTGGGATTTCTCAAACTGCCAAAGCCGTGCAATGTTGTGAGAAGTGGGAGAAAATGACCTCACTCCCCTCTTTATATAAATCTCTTAGAGGAATACAAAAGAGATATTACATTGCATACCAATGTCTTACAAAGCCTTTCCTGAAAATAGTTCTTTTTTATTTTTATTCCCAGCCCTCTCTCTCCTTAATGCCCGTGCACGAAAGAGGCTGGGGTCAGGGACACGGCCAAGTGACAGAGGCTCCACCCTTCCAACGTGAAGCCTTTGATAGGAGGCCAAGCTTGTCTATTTTGATACTTCCCAGAGTGAGTCCCAATAGACTTTGTCAGCAGAAGCAGACTCCCTGAAAACCCCTGTCATGCACAAATCCCGGTGAGAAGCATGACTGGGCTTGAGGTGGGGCTGGTGCTAGGAGTATGTACTCAGGTGGTTGCCACACAGCTTTAGCAAGCCGAGCCAGGATCCTGACTCCAAAGCCTCTTTCCACGCT